TGGGAAAAACCGTACGACTGGCTTTCGTCTATCCGTGGTTAAATTACAGAGAGAAAACGCGCGATAACGCGGAGGATTCCTCGCGATGATGCTGTCGATCCTGAAGGAAAAACACGCCGAGGTAGACGCGAAGCGTTGCGCTCGCTAAACTGACAGAAAATATCCCACTCTTTATTCCCTTTTCTCTTAATTGAAGTTTTTACCCGTTCACGGATTATTAGCCTCGTAAACACTGTTTATTACGAAGGAGATTGTTTCGTATCCTGTAGGAAGTAAGAGAGGTTTGTTGGGTTATTGTAGGTAATGGCTGACTTCGCGGAAGTATTAGATCTTGTGGAATTTATGAATAATATATAATAACATGCCATTAAGGGGCACTTATTATATCGGGATTTGAAGCTCGGAGATTGATAGATACTATGGGACGGATACTTTGTCGTCTTTTTGCGTAATTTGTAATTTCCCATTTATGATACCGACAAATTGTATAATTCGTAATTTATTATGGGCGTCGGAGATTATGCAATAATTGGCACGTGCATGATTTTTCTTCGAGTAAAATATTCATTGCGTTAAATGGTCTATTTTACCGTGAAGTATCATATGTGACAACGAAAGTTGTTTAATACCTTATTATTATACCATAGTTAAAGTCTGGTTGTTAATTTCGTTTATTTTATTTTATTTCTATTTTATTTCCTGCAGTTTGTATTATGGAATTAATAATTACATATGGGAAGTAAGAAAGCGAAACTCATATGTAATCTCTTGGGAAAGCAATAAAGTTTCGGTCTTTGTCTATGTCTATGTTTGTGTTTATTGTACATGACATGATTTCACTAAAAATTCGCGGATCAAAGTAACGCGTTAAAAATTACCAGTAATATGAAAACAGCCATCGGAGGAAGTACAATTGTTACGCCAATGTGAAATATTTAGTCGAAAAAGTATCATGATCACGTGGTCTATCTAAAGTACTTGGGCATAACGATCAGCCCAAGACTAATTGCGTTCGATGCATGTCAAATTACACATAAATTAGGCATGCGTTTACAAGTACGTTTACAATAGGTTCCCATTACCTACAAGTTATAGAGAAAAATAAAAAGTTGGATAAATTTACCACGATCTAGCGGGTAATTAAAGCTATCGATGGTTACACGCACAGACTCGAAATATACATTTTTTCATTACATTTCCAATTTTAAATCGTTACAACGAAACTGTCACGTTTTTCATTCCCTATCACTGCTGTTTTTAATTGAAAAAAAATATCCTTTATTAACGAAAGAATGAATATCGACGTACTCGAATCAACGATGCTGTAAAAATTAAAGCGTGGTATTTTATCTAAAATAAAACTCGCCGTATCGCAATACAGGTTAAAGGTTTTATTTTAGAAATACTTAAAGTAGCACGTCCGGCAGGATACGTTTCCTCTCGACAACTGACCCAAGATTTTTGGGTCTTCTTCCACATTGGGAAAATTCTCCCATTACATATAGACCTTCTCAGACCACGTGATAAATTTCTTACGTCTATTCCAACGAATGTTATTCGTAAAGCGAAACGATATTAGATTCGACACCAGATTTCATAATCCACAGTTAAAGTAACGATATTAGGTACGATTCTATACCATTTTACGTTAATATCGCTACTTACTGCTGCTTACCGTGTACACAGAGAACTGTATAACGCTTAGCAAAAAGCGCTTACGTAAAATATGGTAAAAATGACTTTCGAAGACAGTGGTTGTGAAAGTTACGTGATCGTGATACAGGTGGAACAGGCGAAACATCGTGGAAGAAATTTTTACGTGCATCGGAGCGTAGAACGGTGCGAAATAAGAGCCCCGGCGCGGAGATTGGCAACGGGACCGGATGAAAATCGGTCGCAGGTGGTCGAAACGCCGCGAAGCCGTGGAATCATTTACATTCGGCGCGGATTCCGCGCGAACCAGCCGGGCCTTTCGAATTTAGACCACCTTTTCGTCGATCGGATCTACAGCGGAGAAAGGTGATGCCTTTCTAAAACGAACGATCGATGGCCTGCGATGAAAATCGATCGCAAGAAACCGGAAGTGAAAATGCGCTGCCGCGATACACCGCCACGCGATGTTTTTACCTCGGCCAATGTTTTGTTACCTTTCTCCGCTAATTGGCCTGATAGCGGCGGCAGGGCGGAAATGACGGTCATAAACGAATTAGGAAAGCAGGAGGGCACGTATCTGGGAAAAGTGAAAGACGCGAGGATCGATCATAGAAAGGTGGCCAGCAACGCCGAGGAATACGTCGGATAACGTTGCCAGTTCGCGATTAAACATGTGTGTCAAGGAAAGTTGCGATGACAAGAACATAGGAGACTCGAGGAGGAATGGAAATTCGTGTCAGCTGAAATTTTATCTCGCGGAATTTTTAGAAAATCACTCTGATTTATTGCCCATTTTCTTCTTTAATCGGTGTAGATGTCTTTTCTACTTAGACTGAGAACGTGTGGTTTTACTGAACCTTACTGTGGTCAGTTGGTCTAGTACCCAAAATCGAGGCCGAACAGTTAACATTGTCAAGCCACATCCGTTTAGTCCTTATCGCTATCACTGCATACCTGATCTCACGCTATTCGTGCAACGTGCACTCTCGGATAAAGCGTATCGAGAATCTGAGCTTCTTACTGGCAACTATTGGGTTAGAAAGAAAGTAATTTCGGTTTGCGTCAGTAAATAATGTTATGCTTGTTTAGTTATTCTTTTGTCAATGTTAGAATTTTTTTCTTTTGAGATGTGGTAGTCGATACCTTTAAGTTGCTGTTTCGTGAAATTCCGTGTAATTTCGTTTATAACTGTCGGTTCACGGTCAGTCTTATCATTGAGTGCAAAAATAAGCATTTTCGACACATTTTACTTTTTTATTTTCATAAAGGCAAGAATGCGGCTGAGGCTCACAAAAGAATTTCGTTTATAACTGTCAGTTCACGGTCAGTCTTATCATTGAGTGTAAAAATAAGCATTTTCGACACATTTTACTTTTTTATTTTCATAAAGGCAAGAATGCGGCTGAGGCTCACAAAGAGATACGAGAAGTTTATGGTGTTGATTGTTTAACAGAACGCACGTGTCCGAATTAGTTTTAAAAATTTCGTTCTGAAGATTTTTCACTGAAAGATACCCACAACGTTCTGGTCGACCTTCTGAGATTTACGCACTCGGTTAAGTCTTTTGCAGATAAGGACCAGAAATTCTATGAGCGCGGGATCATGAAGTTACCAGAAAGATGGCAAAAGGTCATCGAATAGAATGGAAGATATTTGACCGATTAAAATTTTATTTACTGTATAGAAAAAATTGAGATTTATTTCACACTAAAAAACCGAAAGTACTTTCTCGCCAACCCAATAGAATTTTATTTTGGAATTGTAATAGAATTAGAATAGAATAGAATTCTAATGAAGTTAGAATTTTATTTGTCTATGACAGGAAAGGAGTAAGAGCAACGAAAGTAATGTTATATACGGTATTAATGGAGCATTACGAAGAAAAGGGAAGGAATAAAGTTTAAATTAGCTGGATATATAAATACGTAACTTTGAAGTCGCTACAGAGGATTCACGTTAATTCAATCCCCTAAACCAATTACCTTTTCCTTTTTCGATTCTCTATTTACACCTCCTTTTTCTCCTTTATACGCCGCCTCTATTTCTCCAATTTCGTATTTTCCCTTTAACGAATTAATTTTCTCTTTCTCTTGAAACTCGACGGAACCGTAAATCTACTTAAAGAAAATTGGATCGGCCGGGAAGCCCGCAAGCTCGGAAATAGCCGTGGAAATCGGTGATCCACGGGTGATCCAGATCCCCGGTGGAAGCAGGGACAGAGAAAGGCGAGATCGATCGATCGACGAAGGAAGAGAGTGCAACGGACTTTCCTTGGTCGTTTCGGTTTCAGGTAGCCGTTTGTTCTAGCAGAACCGACACCGTTTTCTGGGTCGTGCCTCTCACTGGCCTATACTCGCGCTCTTGGCAAAAGTGACTATTGAATTTGCAGCCACCTTGCGCGGTGAATGGGCTATCGATTCCGTATCGAATTTGCCTCTGACCTCGACAAGGATACCGGAGATCGATCCGCGTTCGTCGCCCTAAGCGAACCAATTGCTTTCCAACCGATCTCATTCACCGCGGCTTGCCTGATTTTTCTCGAATCTTTAGAGATTTCCATGATAACTGGACCATGGAATGGCTAAATAGAACTGTACATCGTGCTCGAGTTTGGTATCCAAATTTCTAACGTTTCGATGCTTTGGATTTCATAGTGTCCTTTTTTAATTTCCGAAGGTAGCAATTCGAAGTCGATGACATTTGGATCCCGATATCTATCGTTGTAATCCTGTAGACTTGAAGGAGTTCTTCTTTAATTTCCGAAGATAACAACTCGAAGTCGATGGCATTTGGATCCTGATATCTACCGTTTTAAATTTGTGGACTTCAAGAAGTCCTTTTTTAATTTCCGAAGATAACAACTCGAAGTCGATGGCATTTGGATCTCGATATCTACCGTTTTAATCCTGTAGCCTTCAAGGAGTTCTTTAATTTCCGAAGGTAGTAATTCGAAGTCGATGGTATTTCTTGAGGAAGTATAAAGAAATATCGCGTGTAAATTTAGGTATAGAATTGCTTTGTTCCCGCTATCCTATAAATCCTTAGAATTTTTGAATTTTTAGAGAGAGAGAGTTCCCGAATGCTTCTTCGATATAAAGAATTAATAGAAAATTTAAGGAATAGGATGTTCCACACATCACCTAGGGAATATTACCAGGATACTTGTAACTAGGCTGCAAGTACGAATTAGGTGTCACTTGAATTTTACTATTCCACGAAGACCGAATGCTATAATTCGAGGACGAAGTACGGAAACCATTTAAGACACGTGACACATAAACAGCGTGATTGCCGGCAGTATAATATGAAGATGGCGACGCTATAAATGACGTTTTAAGAGCAATTACCTCGAGCTGCACGCCGAAGAGGTCTCGCGATCTGCCAGGTCGTGAGGTTTCGAGCTCCTGCATTTCGGCTTCTCTCTCGGCCAGTCCCATTTCTTCCAAATATCTGCAACAATGGAACGACGATATTCTTAAAATTATCTTGAAATTTCTTCGAAAATTTTTATTCTATCACTTACGAAACCATTGCGGGTATTCGTTATCTGAGAGGAAAATGGTAAAATTTATTCTCGTCGATGCAGAATGGCGGAAAGAAGGAGGGAGACACGCGAAATCGTTGAAAGGTTATGATGCAAAAGGAATTGAAAGGTAATTCTGGTGAGAAGGATTACGAAACGTGTGACTAAACGCGCGCTGACTAAAAGCTTACAAAATAGGAGCTCGTATACAGATTAAATCTACGCAGCCATCGAGAGTGCATAACAGGACAATAAATCTGTACTTTGGAGATCTAGTGCCACTTCGCGGGGTAGATCCAGGCTGAATTGATCTCTTGGGGCTCTGACGTTGGTAATGAAAGACAGGTCTTTCAAGCTGGTAATAAAACTCCCGTCTCGTAGGCAGCTAAGACAGGTTGTATATTTGATGTTATGCAACGGACACAACCCTAATTGCGATTGTTTATTCCGACACCTGCGCTCGAAATTAAGATTCCTCTTTCACACTTATCCTACGACTAATTAAGTGGTACATCCACCGATGGATGAAGAATGAAAAGGGGAAGAATCTTTTGAGGAATGGAATAGGAGATGAATATTAAAACAACCTATATTATTAGACAATAAATTAGTCAGACTAGAAGCTATATTAGGTACTATATAGAAATTATATTAGATTATATTAAAAGAAAAATTACTCAGTCGAGTGATCAAAGCGACAACATTGAATACCGAATTTTAAATAAAAAATTCAAAAATGGTCACTTGAGTCGTGGTAGGATTAACGTTGATCACTAATATCTTAGATTTGCCGTTAGAAATCATCGTGATCGATGAAGAAAGGAAAGAAGAATCTTAAGAGGAATGAAATAGGAGATGAATATTAAAAGAATATTATTAATATTATAAATATATAATATTATTAGACTATAATTTAATTAGATTAGAAACTAGATTAGACTATATTAAAAGAAAAATCACGCAGTCAAGTGATCAAAACGACAACATTGAATGCCTAATTTTAAATAAAAATATTAAAAATGATCACTTGAGCCGTGGTAGGATTCACGTTGATCGCTGATATCTTAAACTTCCCGCTATAAATCATCGTGATCGATGGAGAGGAACATTCGTTCCAGAAATATTTAAATAAAAGTAATTTTTTATAGGAAGATCCGTCCACTCGTTACCATTCTTTCGAAAATATCCATTCGCGTAAACGTTCGTTCGTGAATCCGATTTGGTAGACGAAATATACCCTTGTCCCAGTTACCCCTGCAACAGCGGGATGACGCGTCGTGACGCCGACACGGTAGCAATGCAACGGCAGCACGCGGGTAGGCAAAGCGGGTAAGAAAAAGTGGATAACGGGGTCCGATCGAAGAGCAAAAGGTTAAGTGGTTAAGTGGTTGAGCGTAAGAACGCGCGAGTTTTGTACACATTGTTCGCCGGGATGAGTGGCCGTGAATCATAGGAGGCAAGGAGAGAACAATCCCGATGCTTCCAGGTGCAATTAAACGTCTCTAAACGTTGCGTGCCGAGCGCGCCAGCGAATCAACTTCCCCTTTTTCTTTCTCTCCCCTGTCGCTCTTTCTTCCTCACGCTGCCTCAACGTCCCTCTCTTCTCTCTCTCTCTCTCTGTCTCTCTTTTTCTCTTCTCTCATTTTACCACGAGGACCGTGCTTAATGCAATTAGAAAGAAGATTGCCGCGCGGACGCGGCGAAACCCACGCGAAAACGCTGCAACAACACAATGCGTCTCGCTGGAAACAATGGCCGCACTCGGAGCTTCTCGTACGCGCATCGACCTTAACGATACCGCCGACAGCGAGATTATTCGGTAATTATTCGTAATTAATCTCGCGGTGACGTTCGAACGGTTACGAGTGTCCTGCATTGTCTGACGGTTTCCATGAATTATTTTAATTGCGCTTAAGTCGATCGGATATTCGGCCAAGATATCGCGACGCTTGTGGGAATCGGTAGCGGGTTTCCGAGTAGCCCTCGGGGAGGAATTTTAACGAGCAAACGGGAATTCAGGTGGATGATCGCGCATCAAAGGATGGCTCAGTTCTAATCGACGTAATCAACGGTATTACGCATTTCGAACATTCAGTTCATTTATTTTCGCAAATATTTCGATGTACTTTGAGAGTATGCGAGCTCCGGTTATCGATAAAACGGCGTGAGTGACGTAGCAGGGATAACCGGAGTCTTAAAACGAAGCGGCGATCCGCTTGATCTTCGTCGCGGATTGACAAACAAGGCCCATCGTTAAAAGGGCAGCTCGAAGAGTGGACAGGAGAGTTTTACGCGAGAGACGAGAGCGACGTGTTGTGGGAACGAAAGAATATCGTATCCAACGGAGTCAGATACAATCGGCCATCGAATGATAGATTTATTAGAGACTAAATCGATATCGGTATTTTACACACATTTATTCTTACCATAGGGGGTCGAATGACCCCTCGTCGTATATGAGGTATGCAAAGAATTTTTCTCGGTAAAAAATAAGTTCAGAGAAAAATGGAAAGCGAGGAATTAAAGAATCGGATAATATTCTTTAATTTACGGAGAGTCAGATGAGCGAAAGAAATAACAATGAATGTACGATTTATAATGTAAATTTGGTACGTTTGGTATTAATCCAGCCCTGCCTTTTTCACCCCTTACAATACCAAATTTCTCTCCTGTTTTCTAATTCTTTAAATTTTCTCCTATGGCTGCAGCCATATTATAGCGACACACGACGAAGAGCCGGAGTTTCTCCTCCATTTTAGTCGAATATCTCTTTCTCCCAAAATGGCTGAAAGAAAATTCGTTTCGTAAGCATCGTTTTATGGAAACACGTAGAAAGCGTACACAGCCTCGAGGATATTATGTGTACATATTACTCCCTGAATCAGTTTATCATTTTTCTCGAACATTTCCAGCGATTACGATCGAAAGAATTATAATTCGTTGCAGTCGCGTGAACCCGCCTGTACGACGCATTCCGACTCGAAACAAAGATCGCTTTTCCCATATCGCTCTTTGTGTACGATTTACCTGCGCAGGAATCATCGCGCCTCCTACGTGCCACGGTAAAAAGAGATTGAATTTCTCACGGGCGTAGACCTTGAAATAATAAAGAAAAGAGAACACCTTTAACAGAGTTATCAGCGATACACGCGTGTTCGCGTCGATCTCTCTATTTCGCAAACGATTTTTCTGCACGTGCTCCGAAGATAACTTCATCCAGCGTAGTAAAGGTGAATGACACTATTCGACTTCGCAGTTTTACGACCCTATTCCGCACAAACAACATGAAAATGTCAAGCTGTCGCGTTCGAAAACCTTCACCGTGGTGACTGCGTCAGAGATTGCGTTACAACCGGTAGATACAGGCAATTAGATTCTTTTCGCGTGCAGACTTTCGTTCGCTGTTCGATCGTGCCCGAGCTATCGCGGAATTATAAAACCAGCCTTTTCGCTTAATCGCCACGGAACCATCGGCAGGCGGTAGCCTTGCCCCTCATCTGACGCACGATCCGCTTATTATAACGAAACGACTCGGTTTTCCACCTTCCTGACCAACTCGCGTCTGACGAAACGATATTTCGCAACGGAAACGAGCAAGCTTTCGTGCGAGTCGCTGCGTTATCTCGTGCTTGAGTTTGCCCTCTTGGAAAATCCGAATCGTTCGGGAGCGAATCGGCAAGCGAGCACGTTTGCGAAACCTCCGCGCGGGATTTCGCAAAGGAAGAAGAAACATCGCTTCCTGGACGCACCCTGTTGCGAGAGCTAGGAACGTCGGAGAAACAGAGCATAGTCCGTTAGAGTTGCCTTCCGATTTTTATCTCAAGCTCTCGTGGATTATCGCGAAACCAAGTGGGACACTGGCTAGACTATGATAGAAGACATGGGTGATCGGTTAAATTACAGTGGGCTAGGTTTATTGGACTATGATGGACATAGGTAAGCTGTAATTACACGGATATAAAAGACGAGATAACTCGCATAGTAATACCTAGTTTCCAAATGCTAACCATCGATCAGAGGACGGGAACGATTAGACGTACGAGGATAAGGTATCTCAAGCTTCTGATTGATCTATGTAAAATTACGTAGGATGCCGAAAACTGGTTTTATTGTCTTCGGCGTACAGGAATTAAATATTTATATCTTCCACGTTTAATCGAAGGAATATCGAGTCTGCGCGAAAGGTTTCGAGACATCGAAAACGGACAGAACAATAAGAACAGAATAATACAAACACTAAACTGGGAAAACTAATTTAACTTGGGAAAAGAACACTAAAGTAACTTAACTATGACACACGGAGACACACTCTAATTTCACTCTCTCCAACACCGAACGACTCACGCCCGTGCCAGTCACAATCTATTTCTACGAAGACTCTTCAACGTTTCTTCGCTAAGGACTCTGTTTGTGTCATCAAGGGTTCTGTCTTTATGCTTTTCGCAAAGCTCAATGGCGTGTCTTCTTCAATAGCTAATTGGCTGATATGATTCAGCCCATTAGAGACTACGCAACTTAGCTTTGCTGCCAAAAATAGCCTTTCGTAACGGTATCTTCTTGCGTTTGCTTCTAGAAAATGTCACGCGGGTCATCGATTGGTTTTTAATTTGTTTTTTCTAAAATAAGAAATCACAAATCGGTCGTTACCGAATATTCCCGAAATAGTATTCTACAATTATATGATCTTTCTTTATAATTTCTTTCTCGATTACTAAGCTTCGCTATACTTAATTGCCAAATTGACAGCGATCAGATGACATAAACGATTCGACGAGGATGGAAAGTAAACTAACCGAGGTATCAAACGAGAGTAAAACGCGTGGTAGTCTATTCGAACTAGTTTCAAAGCGATACGTAGAAGAAAGAACATGGCTGCTGTGCCATGGCAACGATCAGAGGACGAAGGATGACAGGTAGGAAACTAGCG